GATCGTATATATATACAGGGTGGTCCGAATTTTATGCAGGAAACTTCGAGGGCAGATAGATCTCTTTAAAATAATATATGTTTGCCTTATAAACATAGGTCTGGAACGGCACCGTTTTAGAGATACAGGGTGTTGAAGTTGTCAAAAAAATAGATTTTTTGTTTATATCTCCGGAATCTATCAACCGATCTCAAGAAAATTTGGTAGATATAATGTATGTATGTATGTATATTCCCTGAAATATAAGCTTTAAAGGTTCAACCAGTGGTGTACAACTGGACAGGGGTCACCCCCTTTTTTACAAAAAACCTACGCCACTGCATTTTTTACATGTCATTGTAACTGATTTATATTTTAATGCACAAAATACGTAAAAAAGGTAACTTTAATTTTTTCCCTAAGATTCGCCGTTCTGAACTTATTCATACCAATACAATCCCCTTGTGGCAGACACTTCTAACTATAATATTACAAGAATATTTGTTTATGTTTAAAATTAAGTGCAATTTGGAAGCACATCAACAAAATTATTTACACTCCTTTCTACACACCACCTGTGAGGTAGTGTGCGATATAAACAAAAAATCATTTTTTTTTAAAACCTCAACACCCTGTATCTCCAAAACTGGGCCGTTCCAGACCTATGTTTATAAGGCAAACACATATTATTTTAAAGAGATCTATCTACCCTCGAAGTTTCCTGCATAAAATTCGGAGCACCCTGTATATATATATACCTATATTATCAAAAATGCTGATGTTGTCTGATTGGTCCTTGTATTACTGGTGGTAACGGATTGGTAAAAGCTAAAACGCTTCTATCTTCTGCCATACCAACTGCAGTATAACGGCGTTACTGGGAAGTTTATCTGAACGTCCCTATTACAATGCATGTTTTAAGAACATTTCTACAGTACCAAATGCAACCGCACTAATCCTAGGTATGTGAATGAAGCTTTACCCATAACATTTTATGTATCCATTCTTTCTGAATTTTAGGATCTTTGGGGAACGTAAAACGCATTAATTTTTCTTCAATTTCCTCATCATTTTTGAATAATTTTTGCTATTATTATTAGAAAAATGTAGGCACACACTGGCACTGGAGAATAGAACAAATTGGAAAATGAAATGATATGAACCACGAACTAAACAAATGTAAACAAGTCTGGCAATCTGTATGACGCGTCTCCGCTCGTCTCTCTCTCCTCGCAACCTACTCTCTCCAGAAACTTGCCCTTATTGCAATAATATTGATATCCATGGTATAACATCATGATTGATATCACTATTTTTAAGCTGGGATCAAAAATGGCATATAATGTATGATCATTATATAGGTCTATGGGTCTATGGGTATGGTAATTTCGGTTTAAAATGGGAAATCGCGAAAAAATCCTTTATGTCGTGTTTCGTATTTTTTTTTTTGGTTTGTGACTTCTTGGTTATGGTTGTCTACCTACTGTTCTTATTTAAAAAATATTTAGTAGTTAAATAATCAAAGACAAACAAAGTGTAAAAAATCTAAATAGGTAATAGATGTATTTTTAAATTATAGACATTTAAGTTTATTTCAAAATAAAATGGAGAATATAGCCTCATTATGGGATAAAAATTCTGAAGAACTACAGCCTTTAAGATTACCTAAAAGTACACCAGATGTAATAGCACAACAAGAAGTAACGCAGACAAGAAATGAATTAAATTGTAATGTTGAATTTCCAAAAAGTGGTAATGAACCAGCAAATACAATGGAAGATATAATTGCAAAGTCAACATTAAAAGTGGATGCACCCGAGTGGTATCCCTCCAATTGCATTTCTAATGATTGTCTTGAGCCTTGTGCTAGTGTCAAAAATATATATGATGAAAACATTTCAGGAACAAGTGAAACCAAAATAGAATATTTGCTAACAAATGATGAAGATTCTCCCGACATTTTCAGGTTAAAACAAATTATTGGTACATTATCGAAAGATCCTGGACAGTTCGATAATTTACTTGATTTGTTCATGGAAACTCTCCAACCGTACTTTGAAGATATACTAGCTTTATCAATAACGGCACAACTTCTAGTTGAACAGGTGAGTAAGTAAGGAAAGAGAGTGTAAAGATTAGATTAAATAGTGATGAGTAAGTTGATCAAAGTTGATCAAAGTAGTTCTTTTGTGTTTGTCAAAATTTTAGAGATCGATACATTCTGATGGTCATGGAACATTTTAATAAATGAGAAAAAAGTCAGGAAAAATCAGTGAAACTTTTCCTTAAAAATTTGTGGGCAATATGCTTCAGATTTTGAGGTCTCTTGTCTAAGTCGTCATTTATGTTTTAGTTTTGGTAAAAATCGAGGTAAAAATTATTGATTCACTCTTAAACTTAAATAGTTTTTTACAGGGTGTATCCTAAGCCTATATCATAAATTAAGGCGGTGAGTCCTTGGGTCATTTTAGGCCCAAAAACCTTAATAAAACAAGGCCCTAAAGTTACTGGTTTCCAAGATAGAGGATGTTAAAAGTTTTTGAAAAATATCATGTTCAATTATCTCTGAAGTTGTTTGACCTAGATTGATGAAACTTGGGGAAATGATGTAACTAATTAAAGGTAATAATTTGGTATATTTTTATATAAATCTGCCAACCAGTAGCGGAGATTTAGGGGAGCTTTGTCATTAAAACTCAGTAAAATTACACCACTGGATTTTCAGAAAAATTAATAGGCACGTTTAGTTTGCTGTCATAATTTTAATAAAAAAGGGCTCTTACATTTTTTTAAGACAATAAACCATTTTTGAGTTATAATGTTTTTTTGTTCATAAGTATTTAATTTTAAAATGATTTCTAATAGGTATTTCATGGTTAAAAAAAAAGATATACTACTAGAAAATGAAGCAGATTTAAGACAACGAATCATAATAAATAGATAAATGCCAGCAAAATGAAAATGTTCACCAATGGCAGCAACACAAGCGACAAGCCTTCGCCTCAACGACTGTCGTACATTTTCTAAAATTGCTGGCATTTGTCTGACTGACAACAATTTATAATTCATTATCTTCAATCTACTTAATTTTCTACTGGTGTTTCATTTTTTTTATACCATGAAATAGGTACCAATTAGAAATTATTTTAAAACTAAATATAAACAAAAAGTTATAACTCCAATATGGTTTATTGTGTGAAGAAAATGCAAGAGACCTTTTTTTTATTAAAAATATAACAGTAAATTAAACACGCCTATTAATTCTTCTGAAAATCCAGTGGTGTAGTTTTTTTGAGGGTTTTAATGACAATGCTCCCCTGAATCTCCACCACTGGTTGACAGATTTATAGAAATATACTGAATTATTACCTTTAATTAGGTACATAATTTCCCCAAGTTTCATCAATCTGCCTCAAACAACTTCAGAGATAATCGAAAAAATGTGATATTTTTCACAAACTTTAACGCCCTGTATCTTGGAAAGCAGTAACTTTAGAACCCTGGTTTATTAAGACTGATGGTCCTAAAATGACCGAAGAAATCACCTCCTCAATTTATGACATAGTCTTAGTATATACCCTGTATAGGTATCTTCACCAAGTCCAAAATAATTAATTTTGTAGTAGAGACAGAAAACGTTTAAACCAAAAAAAAAATATACTATTCAATATAAATATTTTTATTTTTTGTTTTTTTTTCAAAAAAATTTTTCAAAATAAAAACTTGTTATAGCGTCTTAGGCAACAATCACGTCTAAAATTACTTGGATTTCGGCAATTTTCATCTTACATATATAAAATTAAAAGCAATAAAAAACCAAAAATTAATGTTTGTTTGCTATTAAAAAACAGAAATAATAGATATTTATTATACAAGGGAAAAAAGTACTAGATTTTAGCTCGAGATTGTGTTGTTTCCCGACGCGAAGCAGAGGGAGACAAAAAACCGAGAGGTAAAATCTACTATTTTTCCCGTGTATAATACACTATTTTTTTCTGTGACGAGAAAAACAACGATTTAATATTGAAAAAACATTATTACAATATATTAGTCACTAAAGTTTTAAATCGGTAGGCGTTATACTTATAGCGACAATTACATCTGCGTTGCTAAGGAAACCTTTAAAGTAATCAAATATCTGTCAATTTAATTCTGTGATTTGATTCAAAAATTGCAAACTTAGTGGTTGTTTAGTAGTTATTTTGAATAATATAAAGTTAAAAAATGTCTGATTCCGAGTTTTCTCTGACTCCACCGGAGTTAGTAGAAGCAGCGAAAGTAGCGTCACAAAAATTATTGCCAGCTAAATCGCGGAAAATTTACGAAACCTTTACTTATGTATATTGTATATATCCGGGAAAAAAGCAATTTCATAAAAAGTGACATTTTGTTACCTGTCAACAGAGATAAAATGTCAAATTTTTTTCCTGTTACAGAAAAAACATTTTTATAGATTAAGTAATAATAACAAACTAAATCTTATTGCATTTATTTGACTTTTGAATGGAGCAATAATATCAGACATATGTTTTGTTATTATTTAAAGTTACTAAAACTAATTTTAAAGCTTAAACAGTACCTAATTTGTTGTTTTACTGGGAAAAGGACAGGTACTACTTAATAGTGCAAGAATAAATTTAACCATCTTATATTTTATCATAAGAGAATTTTGAGGGATTAAAGATGTTTGATTATTCCCCACGTTTTTTTCAATTTTCCTCGATAAAATGTTGGTAGTATGTTTGCAGTGTAATTATCCTTTTACCTTTTTTAATTATTCTTATCAACAATATTTTAAAGTCATCAGAATGATGTAGTTTATGTAGAATCTGTCCGTAGAATGTAGGTCCGTCAGGTGTATATGCTTTTAAAATTTGAACAGTAGGGTAGCCAGTTTTATGCTCAGGATGAATGAAATTGAAAAAATAAATGCTAGAAAATAATAAAAAAAAATTATAGTGCAAGTATTGCATATGAAACAATAATTTTTAAAAATTACTTTACAAAAACACTAATTTGAAGAAGAATTAGTTCACTATTGGTAAACATACTCAATGATGTGTTTGCACCTTTTTATTTTTATTAACAGAAAATCAAAGAATGTGAGAAAACATACAACAATGTCCAAACTCTAGTACAGCAGTATTTAACTATTTTTTTGCAGTACCCTTAAATAAAAATGTTTATGTTCAAGTACTCCATATCTAAATTCCTAGTATGATCAAACTTGGAGTAAATATGCTTTAGTTTCAGTTAGTAGGATTAGATTAGATAGTAGGTAAATATGAGTTTTTTTTTAAAATTTATTTTAGCGCTTATGTGTTTAACATTACCATATTGGTACAATGTTTATATTGGAATTTGAATATAAATAAATATAAATGATAAATGAAAATTTTGAGCTCTCTTATTAGCACGTACATAGCTCAACATTAGTAAGTGTGAGAATAAGGTTTCTGGATTAAGCTAGTTGCAGTTTTTATTTTTTAAGTGAACCAATAAAAAATGATATAATGTAGAATATTGGAAACGAATAGAATTGTTTAATTATTGATTAAAATAATTTTTTTCATATCTGTGTATCTACCAATCCTAAGAGATTCCTTCACCTACCTCTTAGGATGTCTTTACTTACCCATATGAGTACGCGCACCCCTGGTTGAATACCTGGTCTAGTATGTCATAAGCCGAATTAAAAATTTTAAATTCAAATAAAAACTTATACGTATAAGTATATAAACTTATATGTATAAGAAGTTTTTAGCAAAATTCCTTATATGGTTTCCATTAATTTTCAATGTATAATAATATTCAGTGATCTACATATTTTTTTGTTGCAAACAACTCATTGCGAACTTACACAATTTTCATACTGTCTTAATCTCATTGTTTCATCTTACAACTGATCTTACAACTTACTATGAACGTAAGTTCATAAATACTATTTTTCTTCATAAGACGTCAATAAAAACTCAATTTCATAAAAAAATGGACTTAGGCAAATTTCATGTAACTGCGATGATATTTAATACATAAAACGTCATTGCATTTGAAGCATGTGTGGTATTAATATAAAATAAAATATTGCACCTATTGAATTTTAGGCTTCTTCAAACAAACGAAATATGGAACACAATGCTTTGCGATACAGTATAACGGGATAAATCAGTTGCTACAATTTCATTGCAAATGAGGTGATTTTCCCACAATGAATTATCGCAGTGAATAGATCATAATGATACTGCATTTTAGTCACCCCAGGATGGATTCATCTTCATTTAATGAGTATCTTTTATTTCTGATTGCGTTAGATGAAGAAGCAACTCAGACTCAGATAATTTTATTGTTATTATCACATATCTACAGTGCGGCTGATTAAGAAATATGACATACTTCTAACATTTTTCTTGTGGATGTATAATTCGAACTATACAGGGTGTTTTTTAATGATATGTTAATATTGTGATTCTTGGGTCCATTTTTTAAGGAAACAGTTTCATATGAATATATGTTTTTTTTTAATTACTACCAGTGGATTCGTGCGGGATTTGCGCGGAATATTTTTTAAGAAAAAAAATGGTATGCCACTGCTCTTTTGTAAAATAAAAATTATTTTTGAAATTGTCATTCATTTCTCAGCAAATACCTTGATTCTTTTCGTTTAACGCATGGTTTTTGCGTAAAAAAAATAAAAACCATTTTTCTGCATGGCCACATTGTCAGTATTGAAACATAAATCTTCTTTTATATTCTCAAGGTATTGAGTTTATTTAATATTAAATTATCCGAAGTGTTAATGAGACTTCCACAAGAGTCTTCAGGTCGCAAAAATCGAAAACAAATTCGTTTTTACATAGTGTGGTGTGCTCATTAGCCTGTTCAATTTCGTCATGTCTATGCACGAGATTACTTGAGACCAGCTCAATCGTCAAATTTGTACTATACAGGGTGTCACCTGACGAATGTTACATACTTCAAGGGTATAATTTAGAACCCAAATGGTGTCTATTTAACCAAACTTGCTTAAATGAAAAATGCCGCAAAAAAAAGTTACAGGGTGTTAAAGTTTCTTTTTTATTTCTTGTTTTCTCCTTATCATCTCAGA